ACACACACACACACACACACCGTCCTCGGACACAAAGGAGATGAAGCCTGATTCGATAAGGTCGTCTCAAGCTCTTAGACGAGACCCGAATGGCCGGACCCAACCGACACAGCAAAGCAACACAAATGAAGGGTCCATTCGGCGATAGAGTGAATCCGTGCTACTGATAGTGAAATGGGCCTGCAGAGAGGATATCACTCTCAATGAACGGAGGTTTCTGCTCTGCCAAAGTTCTCTCTCTTTCTTGCATTTGGCAGCCAGTAATTGTATTACTGGTTGCTCGTATTGCTCGTATTTTCTTCAATGGCAAACGAGCCTGAGCGTACCAAATTGCAAACCTAATCAATCGTCGCCAAAGACACGAAAAACAACAACACAGTGCCAGAGGAAGAGATGACAGAGAGTGAGAAAGTGACTGACGATAAATAGAAAAAGAAATCGAAATGAAAGCCGTCGGTGGTGGTGGTGGTGAATTAGCGGCAATGGAGTCCGCTAATGAAAGGAAGTCCTCTGCGCAACTGTAAATGGCCAATGGCAGGACAATCTCTCTCTGGTTTGGCCCGGTGCTGGCTGTGCATCAAAACTATAGGTCGCAAGCAACGGCACTTCCCATTCGTCACACTGGTGCAAACTGAGAGAGAAACAATGGCGAGCAGGGTCAGAGCAGAGCAGGCAGGCAGGCACTGCCGCGCCGCCCGGATCACATCTGTTCGCACGTCCTCGCCTGATGTAGTAGCAGTGATTGTGATTGATCCAAAAAGAGAGCAACAGAAAGAAAGATCTCCCAGCACGAGCCTGTAGTGTCTCTAGTGTGACCTATAGTCGTGGAACGCACAGACAACCAAATACACACACGGTTATCAACTAATTAGATTGGTAACTAAGCTGCTGCTGCAGTCTAATCAGTGCGTGTCAGCGGCAATTGGACACAGGTAGTAGCACACATTGATTACCATTATCACCTCATACCTCGCACCTTACACGCACTCACTCATTATTCGCAGCAGTGTGATGCAGCTCTAACAAGCATAGCCAATAGAGTGGTAATCAAGGAAAGTGGGAGAAAGAATCGGTGGCTCGCGCCAGCTCGCGAAACTAATCACACTAGCACCGGCAATTAGCACCTGAATGCGAAGAAGAAGAAGAGAAAGAAGAAGGAAGAGCACTTACCTCCGAGAATGCCCTCGATGCTGTGGTCCTTGGTGAGGCTGTCCTCGTGGTCGCTCATCTCGCCGCTCATCGCCGAGGAGCCGCGTGGATTAGTGCGCAGAACGCGACTGATGGAGCTGACGCTAGGTGCGCTGTTCTTGTCGCAGATGCCCTCCTGTGAAGAAGAAGAAGGCAACTAGTAGTACCAGTTGATTACAGGCCACTCAACAGTAATATCCCATCCATCCATCTGTCCATTCATTCTTCTTATCAACCCAAACTCATTCAAATCACTCACCTTGATCAGTCGGTCGCGAATCTCCCAGCTGAAGATGTTTGGATTGCCGTTCTTGTACTCCTCGATCTTCTTCTCAACTTCGGGCGTGGCCACCCGTGGCTTGCTCCCTCCGATGACGCCCGGTCGAATGCTGCCCGTCTCCTGGTACCGGTTGAGGATCTTCGAGACGCAGCCATGCGATACGCGCAGCTGGCGGCTGATGATGCAAGGACGGATGCCGGCGGCGGCCATTTCTACGATCTTGTAGCGAATGTGATTAGGCAGTGGTCGGCCGTTGATGAAGACGCCACCTAGCTGGTTCACACGACCTTGGCCTGAAGTTGAGTAGAAAAAGAAGAAAAAGTTGAGAAGTTAGTCACTAAGAACAGTGGTCACAAAAGGAAGCTAACCACGAAGGAGTTCGCTGATTTCCACGTTTTGCTTATCCCATTCGCTAAAGGAAAGGGTGGACATTTTTCAAAATTTTTCTTTTTTCAAGATTGCACACACATTCACACAAGATCACTACAATAACTGATTCACAAGACGGTCTCTGAGCAAATGAAGACATTCTCAGGCACTGCGCTTCCTTAAATATCTTGTTTTTCTACCACTGCTGCCGATTACGCCAGTTGGCCAAGTGGGCAATTGGTTCTAATTAGCGGGCTCTAATTTCCCCTTTGCAGTAAGTAAGAGGAGGAAATGATACCATACTGGGCATATGCCTGTTTAAGCAAACACACACACAATATGATTCTGCAACAGCCTAACAAACTCAATCTGTGACCAATTAGTAGTCTCACTATGTCTCTGTGTCCTTGTCCTTCTGCTGCTGCTGTTGCTGCCACAGTTCTACATCTGGTGGCACAATATGGTGCACGATATTCTTCTCAGTGGTCCATTCACCATTGGCCAGACACTGACTGGTGGTCTCCACACTGGCACTTTCAGTTTGCCATCTGAGAGGGTTGCCATTGCAAAATTTGGGAGAGAAAAGGAACAGAGTGTTCCCAGAGGAATAAAACGGTGGTGGCTGCTGTGCTTGGTGACCTTCGAAAGTGCTGCAAAGCACCTTCTTTTAACATTTCTTCCTCGAATGGAGCATTTTTTGCACGATTTAAAACTTTGATGACTGCCACTGGAGAGCTGCTGTTTTCGTTTTAACTACTTTCTGTCTGATTTATTCCTTCTCTCCTCCATTTCAGTTTCTATTCCTGCATTCCAGTTTGTGGGAATGGCGGCAGCAGCAGTAGCAAGTACTGCACTATTGAACAGTTGACTAGTCATCGATTGTGTGAAGGTGGCTGAAGGTGTAGAGGGAATGGGATTCCTCTCTGCAGCCACCCACAATGAGCCTAATTTGTGGGTGCAAAGTGCGGCCATTTAATCGGCCATTGTCTTGAGCGAATCTGATTTAGTGCCTCGTAAACATTTTCTCTCGTAATTTCTCCCTCGCCCTCAGGCGCAAACACACACACACTCAAGCACACATAAGCATCCAATTAGTGCCCACAGCGAGAAAGAGACTACACTTTCTCATGACTATAAAATAATGGGGAGCTATTACAGTTAGACCACTGTGTCGGGTGCACTTCAAAGAGAAACTGCTAGCTACCTGAAAATGGTGACTTACCCTGAAAGGGATAACCCGTGAAGATGGGACGAATGGACATGGCCATGCTCAGAAAGAGAGTGAAGAATGGGTGATCAGAAAAAGGCGATGATGAGGTGAGGTGAACACCACCAGCGAAAGAAATTTTCACAGCAGAAAAAAAGGCTTGAAAAATGAAGAATGGGTGCTGGCAAATTGTGTGTGTCTCTTGAGAACCTGTGCGTGACAGTTCCGGTGAAGCAGAGGGGGCCAAGCAGAAAAAACAGCGACAGGTGCGAAGTGACCAGGGAAGGGAAAAATATTCTCGACCGAGACACACTCGAGCTGAAAGAGGTACCAATGTTTGACTTGCGGTGCCGTGTAATCAATTTAACTTCGATGGGTACCAGCAGCAACAGCAGCACTAGCACTCGATGGGGCCAGCAACAGCAGCTGCAGCAGTGGAGACAGTGGAGCAAACAAACAAATCAAAGCATGCACACAAGTCGGCGATGATGATGGTGATGGCACTATTAGCGACGGATATCGACTGACTAACTGACTGACTGTATGTGCNGCTTCGATGGGTACCAGCAGCAGCAGCACTAGCAGCATTCGATGGGGCCAGCAGCAGCTGCAGAAGTGGAGACAGTGGAGCAAACAAACAAATCAAAGCATGCACACAAGTCGGCGATGATGATGGTGATGGCACTATTAGCGACGGATATCGACTGACTAACTGACTGACTGTATGTGCTAAGCAGAAGCACCACCAGGAACGAACTGATTTGGCTCACTTGCCGAGTGCCCAGTGTTCACTGTTCGCAGTCCCCTCTGTCTCTGTCTCTGTCTCTCAGTCGCGCGTGACCACGGCCACTGATACTACGACCACTCTGCTCGGGCAGAAGATACTGCTACCCGGGAACATTGTGCAATGAGAGAGAGAGAGAGAAACCGTTCCCTCCACCTTTCCTCACACACACAGTGCCAGTGGAGCGCACAGTTGAGCGACGCCTTTGGGCATGGACATCACCTTGTCTATAAGCAGCAGCAGCAGAAGCTGAAGCCAGTGCTGAAGCTACTGCTGTTGCCGATTGCTGCTGCTGCTGCTACCACCAAACTTGGCTACCGAACTGCGCCAGCTAATGTGGAGTTGATGTGCTGCAGGCTTCAGCTTCAGACTTCAGCTTCTCCAGTTACCGTACTCTGCGACGCTCAAAGGTAGTGGTGAGACTGAGAATGAAAAATGGCATCAATTGCACTGGGTGGCAGTGCCGTGTAATTAGAAACTAGACCGTGACTCTGCTTCTGTTCTCTTGCAAATGCGTCCCCTGATTGTCTTGCAAATGGCCACCGAAATGGAAATGGAAATGGTGGTGGTCCTAACGAGACGCGACACGCTTGTCGCTCCACTCTCTTCCATCATCCAATTTGTTCGCTACAATTTGTTCGGTCCACGACGCCCATTGTCACTTTTTTGGTCAATTGTGATCTGATGGTTCGCAATCTGCAATCTGATCTGTTCACATTGTCCACGTAATAATCATTTATTTGAGTTGGCCGCTGCTGATGCTGCTGTTTCTGAGTTACTTTGTTTGACCTCCTTCTTTTTCCTCCAGTGAGTCGAAATTTAATTTGGTCACTTGGTCTGAAGTCTTCTTTGTCCGGCAGTCGGGTAAGAATAGCATCAGTGAGAAACTGCAACTTCGTTTTC